TTAACGTTCGGAGAGATCGAGCGAGCATCGCTGTACCGTCCCTGGATCCATTCGCGCGGATGTTCGAGTCCTCGCGTGGGATCGACGAGTCAATCGACGAACACGATCGCGGTGCATAGCATGGTCTCACTAAAAAAAAAAAAAAAAAAAAAAATCACTAAAACCTCTCGAGGCAACGGTGGACGCGGGTCCTCATTTCACTTCGCAGGTCGCAACTGACCGCCACGGAACTGTCACGCAAAGAGATGGTTCACGTCGTGGAAGAACGTGCGATTTCGGCAGCGGAATGTCAACTGACGTGCATGCGAGCACAGAGAGATAGACCGAGAGAGGGACAAAGAGAGAGAGAGAGAGACAGACGGATAGACAGACAGAGAAGGAGAGCGACAGAGAGAGAGAGAGAGAGAGAGAAGGGGGTGCTCAGAGTGTGGCAACGCAACGTGAGAGCGTGCAACCCTCGAATGAAAACCGACAAAGGCATATAGCTAGCTGTGTATTGCCCCCTCCCCCGTGCAGCGGGGATTCACGAAACAGCCCCCTTTAACGTATAGGCAGTGGCTTGCCTGTATATATAGATGGAAGAGGGTGTAGAAGGGGTGGAAGGAGTGTGTTACTCTGTACCCTTGCCCCCTCTCGACACCGTTCCACCTCTTGGAGAAAACCGGCGTGCAAACCGCCCCTCCTCTTTCCTCTTAGGTGAGATAATACAGACTATAAGCCGAGCAATTCGGGGTTTGGCTCGCTCGGTAATGCCGTAATAAAATCATACTCCCATCAAACGGCGCTGCGCGCACCCCCTTTAAAGGTAACGGAAGGGAGACCGGCGAAGGCGGGAAAGGGACGGAGCCCGCGGAGAAGAAGGAATGGAGTGGGAAGGCGAACGTTGAACGGCACGGTGCAGGGGTGGCTCGCCAAGTGGCAAGGGAGGAAAAAAGCTAGGAGACTCGCATTCCTTTGGTCCTAACGATTGGATTTTATTTGACGAAGCAGACCAACGGTCCGTCCAATCGGCTGCTTCGAGGGTAGTCCATAGCCACGCCTACTCACCCCCGTCTGACTGCCGCGCGTGTTTTCTCTCTCTCCCTCCGTCTTTCTTTCACCCCGTTCTTACTCCCTCTCTTGCTCGCTCTCACCCTTTGTATCCTTCTTCTTCTCGCCCCTTCTAGGTACGCGGAACACATAGACACGCGCGCGCGCTCTCGCGCGCGCACACACACACACACACATACACACACAATTTTGTTATGTCCTTTTCGCTCTTATATTCGTTCGGTTTGGCCACCGAGCCGGTACGGGTTGCCGAGCGGTTCTCTCTACACCCTTATCAACATTATTATCTCTCCACTACCATCGGGATCTGCGGGTGTACGTGTGTCGTTTTATCGGTGTGGTTAGGTACCGTGGCCCGTCTATTGCCGTCCAACACACTGGCTGTGTGCGCCGCGCGCGCGCTCGTGTGAACGTACGTGTCGTACGAGATCGTTTCGCGCAATGCGATTTTCTTGTAGGTATAATTATGCCACCGTTCCACCGGCCACTTTTCCCCGGCCTTAAACCGCTATAACGATTATAACGATTACGCCGCCTCGGCGTATGATTATAACCGTTATAATAATAATAATGACGATGATGGTGATGATAATAGTATTAATAGTGATCAGCCGACTTGGCGATCGTCCACGATCGATCTGTCGGCCCACTAAGGCTCTGCCAGTTTTCTTCGTCAACGCCTTTACTTTTATTATCTTTGGAAACTTTAAATAGAAATCACACGATTTTTATTCGTCCTACGAATTAGATGTACGAATTTCCCCTTTCCTCGACGATCGTAATCTCAAGTTGCTCCGATTGTAATACCGATTTTCGTCCTGTACGTGCGTAGGGAGGCAGGCGACGCGTGCAGAAATCGCGGCGCCGCTGCCGACGGAAATGTCGGCAGGGTTAATCAAATTAACAAGCACGACGATCACCGGAATCGGACACTGTCCGTGTTGTCCGCTTCCATGCCTGACGAGCAGAGACAGAGACAGAGACAGAGTGAGAGAAAGAAAGAGAGAGCTACGTTGAATCTTAATCGATCGCGTCGAAGACACAGGCACGCGAGCCACCCTCGCGCGAGGTACATCCTTGTGTACTGGTGCACGTACTCCTTCTCTAACCGGTCATCGAAACACAGGAAAATAGCAATAGCTGGACGGAAAAGAGCCAAACGTGCCACGTAGCTGGCGTAGAGAAAGAGAAGGAAGCGCGAGCAACCGTTTGGGGCGGTTTGGCAAAGGGTGGTAGTCGGGAACATATTCGGTAGCTTAAGTAGAATCGTCGTCGCGGAGAAGGGCCTGGTGAAAACAGGAGGGGTGGTCCCATCGACGATGGTTCTCCGGCTTTTTCTTACACGATATTTCCAGCCTCTATAGCGGCGTCCACCAGCGGCATTGCCCGCGCCACGTGGTGGTGGAGGGTAGTACAGCCAACGAGAGCGTACCGCGAGCCACCCTTTCCTCTCGATTCGACTCCTCGCACCCCCTTGCGGAGGGTGGGATGCCACGGCCACGCCTACCCTTCGGAATCACCTCTACCTCGTCGACGTCACGACTTATCACCCTCTCAGCTCGTGGATGGTGGTGGGTCGCCTCGTGTGCGAAAGGGACTCGCGGGGGTGGTAGATAAGGGGTAGGCGAAGGGGGGCTGCGGCAGTGACGAGAAGCGACGAGAAGGGGTGTACGACGGCTCACGATACTCGGAGGAAGAGGAACCAAAGGCGGCGAAAGAAGGAAAAAAAATAATGAAATGAACATCGCGCGCGGCTTTCCCAAGGGTGGGGAATCCGTGGAATTATTATAAGAGTTCCGGGGTTGAGGTTGCCACGGCTTATATAAATTGAAGGTGGATTCGGGGAGCGGTGTGCCTGCCTCCCTCCCGCAAAGTGTCTTCGGGAGAAAGAGCGAAATCCCCGGCGAGGGGAGAAGAAGAAAAAAAAAGAAAAAGATCCGTTTCGTACCAGCAGCAGATAATTATTCATTCATACAGCCATTCTCGGAATGGGATATCAAAGTTTCAAAATGGGCGAATAATACGATTTTTGGGCGCGAACTGTTCACCACCCGATTCCTCCCTCGTCTCGTCTTTTTCCCCCCTCGCGTTCCTTCTTTCTTTTTTACAATTCTTCTTCGAGGATAGTAACCTCGTACCGCTCGTACATTTTGATCGTTCAACTCTTACGTTTATGTGGACAAACGAATTATAATCGATTTCGACGAATCGAGTAAAGGAGAAACGTTTCTTCCCGATCAAAGGGAAGATTTCTACTGGCAAGTAGTACGACTCGACGAATGTCACCTGTATTACAAAGTGTTGCTTCTTCCTTTGTTCTCTTAGTAGTTTGTTGATAGAGCGACTTGATGAATCTTGCAATTAATGTACCGAGGGTAAGAAGGGGCGGGTGCCAACGAGACGGAAACTACGAATTCCCCCTACGCTTGCCGGCACCGCGATATTACCCCAATTTGCATCTTTGAACTTTCCTCTTGCTGTCGTCGTGCCCGAAACTTCTTTGCGCTCCTCTCGCCCGCGCTGATGCTAATCAGGCAACCGCCTCTTACAAATTGATATTTAAGCGGCAAGTTCTACAACCGATGAGTTGTACGACCAACGTCGAAGTCCTTCCCTCCGTCGACGGGCGTAAAGTGGCGACGATAAACCAGTTCCGCGATGACGCGGAAACTTCCGTCGCGATTTTTCCGTCCGCTGCGAGGGATTCGGCTCGGAACGAGAAACAGGGACGACGGAAATAAAATCTCGCGCGATGGAAATAAAAATCTCTCCTCCCTGCTCTCACCCCGAGGATTGGATACGAAAGAAAGTAGCCCCCGATTCGACACGTTTCTCGCGTAACATAACAATTTTGCAGAATATCAGAGAAGGGCCAGGGCAGAGGAGTAAACGCCTCGCGTCACGGGAATAATCGAGGGGTGGCCGGGAGTAATAATATTATTCTGATAGGGGGCAGTTATAAGCATATGACGCCGTGGACTTATGTCTCTTATCCCATAACAGCTCTGCCTTTGTGTACGTGTACACTTTTCATCGTTGTCGCTCTCGATGCCTCGTTCGGAAAACGAGTAATCGCATGCGTGTGTAAGACGGTTATTGTTGCGCGCATCCGATACGAAGAATCGCGCGTGAAATCGGCTTTATTGAATACGTTCGCCCCCTCCTCAATAACGTGGCATTAAGTATACGGATATCGACTTCTACACGTCGTTCTAACGACTTGTTATTAGCGTGCCATTTCATACTTATATGATCGGAGATTGAAAAACAAGGATTGATCTTTCAAGATTCAACAGTAGTTACCGATAATTTCTGCTCTTGAATTTTATTTATAGGTCGGTATTTACGTATCATTCGAGTTGGTTATATGTTAAGAGGGAGATGTTGAAATGAAAGAATAATCGAGTAGTTTGTGTTACCATTGGTACAATTGAAGAAAATAATCGCAATTGT